AGTTAGTAGTAGTTAGTTATTATAATAAATAATAATATATATATATATATATATATATATATATATATATATATATATATATATATATATATATATTTATATAGGCAAAAAAAATGAAATGTGGAATAGATGCTAAAGTAATAGAATAATAAGGAGAAATAGATTTAGAAGCTCATAATTTCTTTATAAATACAAAAATGCCTCTATAAGATGTTTTAAGGTTACCTTATTATGCTTTGATTTTATTTAAACCTTCAAATACTACAAATTAAAAAGCTTTTTAGGAAATATAAAGTTACATAAATTCTACTTCTAATGAGGCAGGGTTAATAAGTACTGCAAATTTCTAACTTTTCTTAATTCCTGAAGGAAAAGAATCTTAAAAATTATATAATTAAAATAATAGTAAAGATTAATAATACATAGTAGTAGTTTATCATACAAACGAGACTTTTAAAGAAATAAGAAATAAAAAAGACATAAAATATGAGGATAAGTTACTTTAGAAAAATTAAAGATAAGAATAAAAGATTTAGAATGAAAACATTAAAAACTATTAATAAAATGATGAAAATGAAGAAATTTATGATCCAAATAAAATATCTATAGATGATAGTTATAGAAAAATTACTGATTTAAGTTGCCTTGTTTATGGGAATAATTGAATTAAAAAAAATGATTATATTTTTTTTAAATAAAAAAAATATTTATAATATATATAGATAATATAAAAAAATATAATATATGATATTAATTATTAGTTATTATCTGCGTTAAATTATAAATATATATATATATATATATATATATATATTATATATATATATTTAATAATTACGTGTTTTTTTTGTTTTTTTAATATATATTATATATAATATTTTTTAATTTAAGTTATAGTTTTAATGATTTTATTATATTTAAATAAATGTATATATATAAAAATATATATATATATATACATATATATATATATATATATATATTATATATATATATATATTATATGGAATCTTTAGTAATATCTTTAATTAATATTATTATTTTTAATAAAATATTAGTAATGTTATATTATTTTTAAAAATAAATAATTATAAAAACGAAATATTTTAATATTTTTTTATAAAAAGAAAAATTTTAATTTTAGACTTAATAATATTAAAATAAGGTTTCTTTTTTTTTTAATGAAATTAATTATAATAATAAATATTTTTATTATATTTGATAATTATTAAAATTTTTTTATTATTTTATATTGCTTTTAAAACAAGAATAATATATTTTTTAATTTTAAATTTTAATATTTTATTATTAGAGATTAACTATATAAAACTTATATATATAAAAAAATTAATAATTTACAATATTTATTAATATAATAGAAATTAAAACACTATATAAGTAAATTAATTATAAACTTTGGCCATTATTTTATAATTTATATATAAATATTAAATATATAATATTTCTTTTAATACTATAATATTTTTAAAATAAAAGAAAAAAAAAAGTTTTTAAAATATTATTTAAAAATTTAGAATATTTAAAAAGATATTTAAATAATAAAAAAATATAAAAAAAAAAAAAATTATTATTTAACCAAAATATTTAATTCAATAAAATTTAATTAATTTCATTTTTAAACTTTAATTTTTTTCGCTGTTTTTGATATAACTGATATCTCTTCATCCATATCAGACTATTATTCCGATTAATTTTAATTTTAAGCCTTCTGAAATTCATTTCTTTAAATCCATTCATCCCAGCAATTCTAAACATCTTAAATAGTAAGATTAAAACCTAATTTTGATATTTCTAAAACAACTTATTATTCAAGAACACCAATATATCTTAATGATACTATAATTCCTTTTAATTCAGTTTAAATATCTTGGCTCATTTACAAAATGCAAATTTATTTAAAAATTTAAATTATAATTTAATAAAAAAAAATATATTTTAATAATATATATTTTATTTTATATATAATTATAAGTAATATTATTTATTATAGTATAGTAATAAATAATTCAAATATATAAATTAAAAGAAGTATAATACAAATAAAAAATAATTAAAATTAATATTATTTATATACAATTAAATTAAAAAATAAAAATATAAATAACTAATAAAAAATATAAAATAAATTAATTTAAATATATATATATTTAGAATAAAAAAAAAATATAAATGAATACTATAAATTAGAATTATATAAAAATAATATAATTTCTAAAAATAATACATAAAAAAGTTTATGATAATAAAATATATAAAATTAGTTATATTAATTAAATAAATTATTTGCGTATTAAAAATAAATATAATGTATATAAATATATATATATTTATATATATATATATTTATATATATATATATATTTATATTTTTTTTTTATATTTATATATATTTTTATATATTATTTATCAATATATATTCATTTTTATTCCCAACTTTTAGCTTTATAAAATACTGGTAGTGCTAATTTTAGTGATCCTTCAACTATGTAAGCATAAAAAATAGGATATATTAGATATTTAAAATAAAATAGTAATCTATAGTATACAATATCCCAAATTAATTAATCTACATTATTTTCTATTTCTAATTATTTAATTAATCGTACTACCCTTTCACCTGTCTATAATCCAAATTATAGAATACATAATATTAATTAAACTTTAAAAATTCTAATCAAGTCTTTAATTAATCCATATCTTAATGGTGTTGTTTACCACATTAATACTAAAAATAATATTATTACTATTAGTGTTATTACAATTTATACTACACTGAATGCTATAATAGTTGCTTAAGAATAATTTTTTATATTTGTATAATTTAGATGTGTTTCTACGAATGTACTTGATATTAAATCTAATAATAGAAATATAAATAAAAATAAAAGCTTTATTTTTAATAAATTTTTATTATCTTCAATATTCATTTTAAAATAATATTTTTTATTTTATAATTTTATATTTATATATATATATATATATATATTTTTTTAAAAAAATAACTAATATTTTTTAAAAATATTTAGTATTTAAAATTATTATTTATTATACATATATACCTTTTTTTTTTTTATAAAATTAATATTTTATATATTTAATTGAATTTGTTAAAATTATTATTTATTTTAATATAAACATAATTATATTCTTTATTTAATTCAAATTAAAAAAATTAGTAAATATAATGCAATTCATAAAACATTTAAGTTATAGAAGGATTTAAGTTTTTTAAAAAATCAGAAAGATAAGTAAAATCATAAAAAAAAAAATGATAAAGATTTTTTATTTAATATTTTATTAAAAATAATAAAAAGCAATTAATAGACTAATAATAAATAACATATTTAAGAAAAAAAGTCGGAAATATATCAAATTATTGAAGAACTAATAGATCTTGATGCAAGTATTGAGGAATTGAATATTTAAAATTAAAAATAAGAAAATAAGTTTTTAGATTCTAATAGAAAATAATTAAAGGGAGAAATTTAATAAATATAAAACGAAATTAAGGAAAAAAAAAGTAAAGAATATATAAATAATTTGAATAGATTAAAAAAAATACAAAAATTTTAAAAAAATTAAGTAAATAAAAGTTTAATAAATTAAAATTGAAGTAGTTATTAAAATTAAAAAAAATAAACACAATTTAAGTATTTATAAGTCTTTTAATTTTTTTAAAAATATTAAATTTTCTTTTATTCATATTAATAAGATAATAGAAATAATAATGTGAACTTTTTTAATTAAATATGAAAATATATTAATTACTTTACAACTTTATTTTATTAAAAAACTCAATCTTAGAAAAAAATAAAATAATTGATTATTTTATCTTTTTTTTTTTTTTTTAATTGAGTTTTTAAAAATATAAACCATGAAAAAAAAATTAATATATTTTTTTTTTTTTAAAAAAAATCAAAGTAAATTAGAAGGATATCTGAAGTATTATCCTGCATATACTGCTTTAGATCCTAATTATTCTTCGATTCTTAGCAATTGATTATATTTTGCTAATCTTTCAGACCTACAAGGAGCTCCAGTTTTAATTTAACCACAAGCAAGCCCTACACTTAAATCAGCAATGAAGGTATCTTCAGTTTCTCCACTTCTATGTGAGACCATAACTCCAAAATTGTTATCCTACAATAATTAAAAAAGAAAAAAAACTTATATATAATAAAATATATATATATATAAAAAAAGATTAAAATATTTAAATATTATATATTTATATATTTATATATATATATATTTATATATTTATATATATATGTATATTTATATATATTTATATATATTTATATTTAAATTTTTTTTTAATACTTAAGCTAATCTAGCTGCTTAAATAGATTCAGTTACTGTTCCAATTTGATTAACTTTTAATAAAAGTGCATTACAAGCTAGTTTGTCTATGGCATTTTATACTTTCATTGGATTAGTTACTAATAAATCATCTCCTACAATTTATACTTATTATCCTAAAGATTCATTCATATTTTGATATGCGATCCAATCATCTTAATCAAACGGATCTTCAATTGATTTAATAGGATAATCTTTACATATTTCTTCATATAATTTAGTTAATTATTATCCACTTATTCTGTGTGATCCATCATTACTTTTATTCTTAAAATCTAAATCGTAAAGTTTCTATTTTTCATTCCAAAATTCAGAAGCTGCTACATCCATTCCTAATACAATTTTTCCTTCATGTCCTACAAAAATAAATAAATATATATTTATATGATATATATATAAAAAATTATATATATATATATATATATATATATATATATATATATATATATTATATATATATATATATTATATACCTGATTTTTATATAGCTTCAACTAATAAATTTAAACCATCTCTAGTTTCTTAAATATTAGGCGCAAATCCACCTTCATCACCTACATTAGTTGCATCTAATCCATATTTTTTCTTAATTACTGACTTTAAAGCATGATATACTTCTGCTCCCATCTATAAACCTTCTTTAAAAGAATTTGCTCCTATCGGAAGTATCATAAATTCTTACATAGCTAATTTATTTCCTGCATGTTTTCCCCCATTTATGACATTTAATGAAGGTACCGGCATTATAAATTTCTATTATTTTTTCTCTGCTAAATTTCCCAAATATTAATATAAAGGAATTCCCTTTGCAGCTGCACCAGCCCTTGCAACTGCTAAAGAAACAGAAAGAATTGCATTAGCACCTAAATGAGATTTTGTCCAACCATGTTTATTAAATGTTCCATCGAGTCTTTTTACCATTATTTCATCTATTTTTTATTATTCGGTAACACTTTCACCTTTTAAAGCATCTGCTATTGTAATATTTACTGCATTTACTGCTTATTATACACCTTTTCCACCATACCTATATTTTCGTGAGTTTTTTTATAACGTTTATTTTATTTTAATACCTAAAAGATACATTATCTCGAATCTCGACAGCTTCATATATGCCTGTAGAAGCGCCAGATGGAACTGCAGCTGTAAAAATACCGTTTGATGTGGTTACTTCACATTCTACTGTAGGGTTTCCACGAGAATCTAATATTTCACGGGCATGAATGCTTTTTATAGAAGAAAAACTACGGAAATAGTTTTTATTAGATTAAGATTTAATTAATTTTAAAATATTCATTTTTTATATTTATAAAAAGTAAAATAAATTTTTTTATTTATATTTCTATAAAAAATATTTTATATAATAAAATTTTTGATAAAAATATATATTTTTTATTTAATTAAAAATGTATAAAAAATAAAAATATTTTATTAAAAGTATACAATAGTAAAATAAAAATATTATAAATAGTAGTGTGTAATAAAAAAAAAAAAATATATATGTAAAAATATATTTATATATATAAATATATATATATATATATATATATATATATATATATATATATTATATTTGTGATATATATAGAATTTAATTTTTCATATCTAACAAATTATCATTTAATTATAAATTTTTTTTTTAATTTTTTTGTTTTTTTTCAGTTCTTTAGTAAACTTAAAATAAACTATTAATATTTATATTTTAAATTTTTTTTTATATTCAATAAATTCGTAAGTATTTATAGACACACTTTTAAATAATTTTTATAGAGCTTTTTTCTGACTTTTATTTTTAAATTTCATATTATCTTTTAGGTTAATATTATTGATTATAACTTACATTCGATTCCGAAGTGCGAATAAAGTATAATTTCTTGATTATTTTTTGCTATGATTTTAGAAAGAAAATATTATGAATTGTTCTGATTATTGATTATATTCTTCAAATTTTATAAATAAACGTATTTATATTACTAATTCAGTTTTTATTTCTTAATTATCATCATTTTTAAATATAAAAATAACTAATTATTAGCATATAGCGTGTAATTCTTTTAATATTTTTTTAAATGTAACCTTCAATAAAATTTATTAGGGCAGTATAATTTAAATTTTAGATTGAATCTATTAGCTTATTTTTGGGCTTGAAATGTTATTTTATTTTTAATTATTACGAATTAAAAATGTTTGGTGTATTTCAATTTTTATTATATTATATTAATCGATTGTAAATTTTATAAAGATGGGAATAATATTTAATTTATTTTTTTAATATTTATTTATGTTGAATATAGATGGTAATACATGAATTTTTAGCTTATACTAAGCTTTATTATTTATATTAATATATTAATTTATACAATTTTTTTTTATTTAATAATATTTTAGAAAGAGAAAAAATAAAATATTATAGAATAGATCTTAATTATTATATACAAAAAAATCTACTTTTTAAAATTATTGAAATTAATTAAAAAAAAAATGGTTAAATAAATAATATAAATCAAATAAATAAAAATATTAATAATATAAATATATGATGGAGATATTAAAATAAATAATAATAATAATGTTTTTTATATTTTTAATTGTATTATATTTTTTTTATTTAAAATAAATTTAGTGGGATACTATATAATATCCTTAAAAAATAAATATTTTTAAAAACCAAAAATAAAAGTTAATAGAAATAATAATTTCATGTATTTTATATAAATTATAAAATATAAAATTTTGTATTATTTAAGTTTAAAAAAGTTCTCATGAACTAAATTTTGGTATGTCGAGCTTTTTTATAAAAGATATGAAAATTTATATCAAAAAGATTATATTTATGGGAACTTTATTATTCTATATATAGAAAGAAATGAAATATAAATAAAAAAAGTTAAAAATATTTTAATTTTTTAATTATAATTTTTATATTTATAATATTGAAATATTTATTTTTATTTATTAATTTTTTTTATATTTAAATATATTTTATTTAATTTTTTGGAAAAATAGAAAATTTTATTATTATAATAAAAATGTATTTTATATTATAATTAATTATTCAATTAATTTTTACTTTATTTTTCTTAAATTAAATATTATAAATTTCTCTTTTTTCGTATTGTTAGTCTAATTTAATATCTTCACATGGTATACTGCTTTCTAAAAAAAATAAAAAATAATAATATATATATAATTTTTTACAGAATGAGTCTTTTTTTATATTATTAGAACATTCAAAATCTTGAATATTTTTATCAAATTATTATTGTCTTTATGGACTTTAAACAACTACAAGATTTATCATTTCTTAATTAATTTATTTCCTATTAATTTATTTATGACAACTTTTTTCTTATTCGAAAATTCTAACTTTACTATTATTAAGTGCTAGTTAAGGTACTGTTTATCTAATAGTAGATCTTCTATTTTTCGAACAAACTTTTTATATTTACATTATTTTTCTAAGATTAAGAACTTCATTAAAATCAGCTTATTAAATATATTTAGTATTAGAAATGAAAATAATAATTAGAGATTAAAAAAAGGAAATAGCTATAAAAATTAAAAAATAATCATATATATATATATAAACATATATATATATATATATATATATATATATATATATATATATATATATATATATATATATATATATAATTATATTA